CTAGAGGCGGGTCAACACCTTATTGAACTTGTTACTGTAACTCTGCAATAAATTATTCAATTGTTCTGAAATTTTAATCGTTTACTATTCTGTACATTGTCTTCTTATCCACCAATTTTCGTTTCAATCGGACAACTCCTTCTTGGTGCGTCGATTTTTTTGTTATAGAGTGTAGTATCACGATACTTTTAAAACAGATTAGAATATAACTAATTACTATTTATTTTACCAAACTAGCATGTAGCTGAAGCAGTCACTATTTCTGAAGAAAATCACAGCACTTTTATAGAATCGTTAAATCAAATATATTAAAGGGCTGTTTCTAGAGTGATGACAAGCTTAACACAAACAAGTCACAGGAAAAGTAGAGCAATTCTGCTACAAAATTTTTTAAAAATAAATAAATAAATAAAAGTAAAATCCAATGCTTAGTACTTCATTTTAGCAATTTGAGGTTGCTTAATACATTCTACACAAATGTGCAAAACTATAACTAATTGTACCGGAAAAATTGCATTTTAACATTAGTTATTAAATGTGTATTCTTTTCTATGTAATTTATAAAAGTAAATCAATCAATCTAGGATGACCAGATTTTAGTAAATAATCATTTCTATTTATTTTAAAGTATTATTGTATTTACATTTTATATGTAAGGAAAAAAGTTTTAAAACCGTAAATCAAAAAATATTTTTAAAAAAATTAGAAATAGTGAAAGAGGTTAAGAAATAGACTTAAAATTAAACACACACAGACACACACACACACAAAAAGAACAGAAAAGATGGATTTTAAGACCTCATTTAGATTCGTATGTGAATTTAAATTCATTCGCTTGCTAACAATAAGTTATTCAAATTAAAAAAGATTTTTAAATATTTTATTTTTAAAGAACCTTTAATTTTTAATTCTATGAAAAATTTTAGATTATAATATCTATTACCATAGACTTTTAGATTATAACACCACAGGGGCATTATAATTTCGTGATTTGTTACAAAATTACAATTAACGACTTTTAACAAGTTATTGTTGTTAAATCTAGGATTTAAAACGTTTTAACTTATAATTATGCAACAATTTGACAAAAACTTGCAAAAAAAATTGAAAAACAATGTGTATTACTAAATGAATGTTAACTTTAAATTATAAAATTCTATTTTTTTATTATTTACAATTAGAATTAACTGTATTCCATTTAAAATAACGTTTTAGATTTTAGCATAATTTTTATCATAGCTCTTAATATCCTTATATATTATGTTTGAATTTAAGTAAATGATATAATATTCATTCATTGTTTATAGAACTTCTGACTCTAAGGCCTCGATTTAGATTCCCTAAATCAAATAATATGTTTTTCTTTTAGCTAAAAGTCTCCATTAAATTTTAACGTTAAGTTTAATATTTATAGTTTAGAGTCACAATTAAATTTAAATTTTAGACATAAGTAAGGTTTTAAGTTCAGCATAAATGATACATTTCGTTTAGTATATTTTCAATCAAGGTAAACCTTAATTAAAAACTTGTATTGCGATTTCTCAATGGTGTTGTTCTCTTGTAAACAATAGCATTATTTTTTACAGGGTATTTTCCAAAAGGTTACATTAGGTTCGCTTGCACTTCTGGACTGGACAATGATACCTATTCCATTAGATGCAAAATCTATTGATACGATTGCCTGGAAAAAATCTGTTCGCAAGGCGAAATATGATCCTGCTTCTACTCCAATGCTTTATGGAGGACAATTCACTTTGGAAAGGGGAGCTATCTTCGATACATTCCTGCAATTGGATGGGTGGCATAAGGTAATTATGCTCAATTAATATACATTTGTAAGTAATCAGCAAAAACAGATACAATTCTCTTTTTCAGAACAGCAAGGAAAAAATGAATTTTTCCTTACTTAATTCCTTCCTTACTTTTTTTCCTTACTTTCTGTGACCACTTTTGTGAGATATGAATTTTTTTTTCCATATGCTTTGTGTTGAAAAAACTTTTAAGAGAAACCATCAAAAATCTCTTTCAGCGACCTTGCAAATCTTTGTTAAAAATATAGAAAACGTCAACTAAGAAAACACGAAAAAATATCATAACAAAAAATATTAACAGAACAAATACAGTGTGCGTAGCGCGTTTTTAAATAGTGCTTATTTTCAATTTTCGCTTTTTAAAAGCCCTTAAAGGTGCTTTTTCCAATAGGTGTTTTTAAAAAAAGCTTATTCTTCCTTTACCAAAATATTTTTTTCTTTACCATGTTGATTTTCACCACGAATTATGCAAAAAGACATCGTCCTTTTTAACGTTTTCACAATTCAACCCCAATCTATATCGACGTACCGTCGGTCCGTAGTGTATGAAAACACCATTCGTTTTACATGTTAGATGAAATACTTGCGGATCCGCATTTGCGTATACTGAGCTGGATTAAGTGGGAAGGATTTTTGTTTCTCATGTGCAGCTCTGCTACATTTGTAAGAGATTCTCAATTTCAGACTTCATTTTTCGCTCTCTGGAATCGAACCGAAAAATCTCTCGAATTTTTGCCGATACGGGGACCGACTAAACATTGTCAATTTTTTTTTTCTCTAATAGCGATAGAAAATTTTACTGCTCTTGTTATTGTCTGTTAAATTTTACTGCTCATCATTGGTGACGAGTCATCGTCTTCGTCCCTCGCAAGCAAATAAAACCGGATAAAACCATCAATTGTCAAAAACTTACCAACCCTGACTAATTATGATATTTTTTTAAAGTGCTTAAAATATTTTTTAAGTGCTTGAAAAGTGCATATTTTTTGTTGAAAAATTTGGCTACGCACCCTGAAATAAGAAGATTAAAATCTATTCAAAATATTATAGAGCTCTTATTTAGAGAGCTCTTTTCGACGGTCTCTGATGCCTCGTGTTGCAGTCAGAAACAATAAAGACCATGCAATCAATGATTTATTTTTAGAGTTGAAAGTTAAATTAGAAGAAAGTTATTTTAGGAAAAAACTAAGCATCTCAAACAAATAAACATCTCATTTTTTAAAGCTAACTAAATTTTATGATATGAAATTAAATACAAAATTTATTTATTTATTTAAAATATTTCTATGTAGTATAATTGGTAAGTTTGTTTTTACTCATAATTATATCTGTATCAATCATTTTTATTCATCGATCCGGATATCATGACAATAATATTAGTGGAAAAGTTAAAATCTTTTTTGAAAAATCATATACCTTCAATTACATTTTGAAATCAATGGAGGTTACCCCTAAGAATTATCAACCACATTAATGACCATTCTACTATGGAACAATGATTGGTCATGTGGAACAACGATTGGTACAGAGGATTCACTGTACTTCTGTTTGTATGCTATTTTCCATATCGTTGAGTAACATCATGAAAAAAATTTTAAAAGAAAAAAGTGCATTAAATTTGATTTTGCTCAATCTACTAAAGATAATGATTCTACATACAAGTGATTCACTTAATACTTGTATTTTGCCCACTTTATTTAAAACCATTTAATTAGCTTATTGGTTCATTAGTAAATTTTATTTAGGATTTAAATATTTTAGTAAATAGTTTTTAATGATATTGCCATTCATTAATTTTTTCTTGTTTTATATTTGTCCTCTATCAAGTTTTAATACTGCTTTGAGTTCTTGAAATTTTTCTGTATATTGCATTTGAGAAACAAGTATTCCTCATTATTTTGTGAAACAATTTTTTCAATACTTTGTTATTAGATTTGCTCACTATGGTAGAAATCCAAATATTTGATTGCTTTAAGAATAAAAATGATAAAAAATAGGTAGATTTGAGAGTTTAGGTAAAGTATATCTATGAGAATTAAGTTGTGAGGAACTATTAACAAGCACAAAAATAGCGTAAATAATGAAACTTTTTATTTATTAAATTTATGCATTATTAACAAAACAATTGAGGTTTTAAATGTGTAATTGTTTCTCTCAATATTTGGCCCCAATAAATTTTGGTAATAGAAGTGACTCTGGACTAAGTCTAGACTATTTTTTATCATTGGTACGTCAAAAGTAAATAGAGAAATGCAAATGTTGGACCAAATCTCTTGTGTGTAGTTATTAAATTTTAAGTATTCATTTATCTTTGTTTTAGGGTGTAGCTTTTATAAATGGTTTTAATCTTGGACGCTATTGGCCAATTGTTGGGCCTCAAGTAACACTGTATGCCCCGAGCACATTGTTTCAAGCAGAGCCTGCAGTGAATAATCTGACAATATTGGAACTTGAGCATGCACCTTGTCAAAAAGCAAATACTTGTGTAGTACAATTTGTTGATAATCATATTATAAATGGAGCTACTCCGCTAAATAAAGAAAGAAGAATTCATGGAAATAAGTTCCTGCGACAAACCATGTAGAAAAAGCTATATATAGGGTTTAATTACCATGACACTTGTTTCGCTATTTTTATAAATTTCCATTGTTATTAAATAAATGTTTTAATTTTTATTTACTAGTAAGTCTTTCTATAATTTAATAAAACAGATAGAAACACAAACAAAAAGACCTTTTCGAACAAATCTAAGAGGGATGCATATTCCATAGCCAATGGGCCTCAAATAGCTCACAAAGCCTTTTAACACTCCGAAAACGGTGAAAGAAAAATTTCTCTTTTTTATGGACATGATTAGTAAACTGTCTAGTTAATAAGCTAGTTGAGTTTTCTTCCAACTATTACATTAATCTGGCTCCCTTTCTATTAGTAATTTTTTTTCTTTTTCTGAATAATCATGAAATTTAACTTCCAAGAAACATACATTTGTAAATAACTCATGTAGCTTTGAAATAATGCACTCTTCCTCTTTCTTTTTTTTATGAAAAAAGCTTCACGTTAAATGTTAGACCTCAATATTGTATTTTTTAGTTTGAGTCTCACTATCAAAATATGGTTGACCATCCTTGAATTAGAAATAAAAATTTGACATAATTTATAACTAACCTGTATAAGTAGTATTTTTTGGCAACCAAGTCAATAAAAACATATAGAAAACAGTATATATTCTTTCGGAAACATGCCAGTTTTTCTGTCACAGACTGAATTGTTTTAAAGTGTAATTATATGAAATAGTGATTGGGTTTACTAGTTGTAACTGGTCATATACGCCATTTATCGTAGAGGGAATGCGAAAAATAATTTGTTTTGTCTATCAATTTATAGAATAATTATGAATATGCATATTAATCAAGAGATAAAGAATTCATATTTTAACCAGGGACTCACTTTTAATGAAAAGTGATCCAAAAATTAGGAAGGCCTTTGTCCTTAGGACTCGCAGCTCCCAAACACACTGTAGAATAGTTTTCTTAAGAGTTCATAAAGAATGTCAACCATTAAGAATTTTTTTTGTTTATGTGTATAAAAAAATTTAAAAATATGCTTCTAAAATTTTATGTTGAAATATAATAGACAACTTGGACTATAGTTACATTTGTGCAAAACAGACGAAGGATATTAAGAATTCACTCAATTATATTGACTTTACGTCTAAAAAATATATAAATTGAACATCAGTATCACCCAATAAAGCAAACTTTTTGAAGTTTTGTCTATTTATTGTTTAACATTTTACTTTTCAGAAAAACTTAGTTTTTGTTCAGAGAATCACAAATCCTGATTCATTAAGATCAATCCTGATACTCAAGTAAATTTCAGTTCAGTCCTGCATTGCGCATGGAAATATATTCTGTTCTGATTAGCCTTCTTTGGCCTGAGAATTTTTTATCACTCTTCTATTAATTTTTTCTTGCCATTTCACATTGGCACTTGTGCTTGCCATCCTGATTAGACACAATTTGTTTTGGGTTAATTATTTTACATTGGCACCAGTGACGTTTTTTTTTATTTCTAATAAAATTGTCTTTCATGCCTTGCTATCCTGATTAGAAACAATTTGTTTTGGGTAATTGAGACATGTACATTTTACATTGGCACCTGTGACGTTTTTTTAAATTTCTAATAAAATTGTTTTTCATGCCTTGCCGTCCTGATGAGAAACAATTTGTTTTGGGTGATTGAGACATGTAAAGCTTTTTCTCTCTCAAAGGAATTTTCTAACAATGTAAATTTTTCACTTGAGTATTCTTATTTATTATTTCATAAAGCAAATAATCAGGTGACTTCTATCAACTATGAAGGGCTACCTTGTATTTTTACAAATAAATGCAGATATACAAATAGAAAGATATCACTATTATAGCCTTTGTTTCTTACTTTTTATAAATCTCCATTTACTAATTGTTTTAAACATTTTTAAAACTACAACTATTACTAATTTTTCAACTTAAAACGAAAGTCATTTCTAACTAAAATATAAATCTGTGAAAAACTAATTGAACTCAATATTCTATTTTTAAAAAGAAAATAAATATTGTGTAAAGTGTTCTTAAAATAAATATGATGCCCAACTAATGGATTGAGATTATTAAATAGTCGATTATAATTCTAGTGGCAGAAACCCTCTAACAAGGCAGTGAGGTTTTTTACAGCACCTGCAGATTATTTTTCATCCAAATTGTCGTTTTATTTTTAAAAAGCAAACAAAGAAATGGGAGAAATTGCTGAGACTCGAGCCTTAACAGTATAAGGATTTATTCTATTTAATGCTGTATAAAATTTAACTTAAATAATGATATTCCATTTAGTGCCATATAAAGTTTATATGAGAACTTTTAGGAACTTATATTTGAAACACATATGTTAGATAAAGTTAAATTTCAATAATAATAATCATTGTCTAACTGCGTTGAGATCACTGAAAAATTTGGATTTATGTAGATAATTCTGCAACCAGCATTATAATTACCAAACATTGAATTATTGCCCCGTAATTATGCAAGCATGGAATGAAACAAGAGCATAGTTAGTCTTTTAAGCTATATAACTATATACAGTAGGGAACCGATTATCCGGAACGATCGGGACCATCGCTATTCCGGATAACTGATTTTTCCGGTTTTCTGAATCGCTACAAAAAGCCGTTTTTTTATTGTTAAACCCAACAAAAAAATTTTTTTTTGCAAATAATCTTAAAAGGAAGAAAAAACGATGGAGTAATACACTAATGATTATTTCCAAAATGATGGTAAGGNAAATAAATATGATGCCCAACTAATGGATTGAGATTATTAAATAGTCGATTATAATTCTAGTGGCAGAAACCCTCTAACAAGGCAGTGAGGATTTTTACAGCACCTGCAGATTATTTTTCATCCAAATTGTCGTTTTATTTTTAAAAAGCAAACAAAGAAATGGGAGAAATTGCTGAGACTCGAGCCTTAACAGTATAAGGATTTATTCCATTTAATGCCGTATAAAATTTAACTTAAATAATGATATTCCATTTAGTGCCATATAAAGTTTATATGAGAACTTTTAGGAACTTATATTTGAAACACATATGTTAGATAAAGTTAAATTTTAATAATAATAATCATTGTCTAACTGCATTGAGATCACTGAAAAATTTGGATTTATGTAGATAATGCTGCAGATGTTTGTCTTAAATTCTGCAACCAGCATTATAATTACCAAACATTGAATTATTGCCCCGTAATTATGCAAGCATGGAAAGAAACAAGAGCATAGTTAGTCTTTTAAGCTATATAACTATATAGCTTAAAACTTTATAAGCTAATATATATATATAACTAATATTCATTATTAGTGTTTGAGGAAATATGTTTTTTAAGTAAGAGTTAAGTTTCCAACTAAATGATCAACATTTAAACAAATATTGAAAATTTTATTTATAAACATATATTATAAACAATAATTAAAAGAAAACAAGATTTTTAAGAATCAACAAGCTCTTCTATATCATTTTCACTGGAACTACTTTCGCTGCTTTCTGATGAAGTGTTCTGTAAGAAAATAGTATCACAATAAATACCACAGTAAAAAAAAGGAGAGAGAGAGAAAACTATATTTTCGCTGTAATTTGACAGACAAAATAAACATTTACAACGCAAAAACGTTAATAAGTTTATCTTTAACACCACCATAAGTTTATCCTTAGTAATGAGATGTATTAAGAAAAAAAAATTCAAGAGCAAAAATTTTGAATTTCTTTTTTATAAGATGGCTGAAAGTCTTAAACCATGTTAACAACTTGAAAAATTTGGAACAATTGAATTATGTGATTTTTACTAGTATTGTTAATTAAAATAAAAGTGACATCAAAAGTCCAAATCTTTACCTTTTTAAAATTTATCATTTAAAAACATGCATTGTATATGTCAGAATTGACATACTTTAAATACAAAAAAAAAAAAAAAAATCAGGACAAAAACAAAAGAACTATTTTGTATCAGTCAATCAAAGAATATACTTTGTATCAGTCAATCAGGACAGCCACAAATGCTGAATAAAACTTACATCTTTTGAGAGTTAATTATTTATTGACACCCATTTATTCGAATAGTAGCCATAATAACAAACAGAACATCTTTTAGTCATGTAACTTGATTAAATAGTTTGTGCATATCAAAAGCATTTATGTACAGCTTTTTTTTTTAAATAAATAAATTCCTAAATTTTATTTAACTAGTGATACATTTCACTAGGAAAACCAATAGAATAAATATTATAAAAAAATTTTATTTCTCAAAATTAGAATATTTAATACAAATATATAACGAAAACCTTTCTTACCCTTTTATGAACTTGCAGTAATCCTCTTAGCAGTCTCATTTTTGATAGTGTGTGGGTGATATATCTGACATCAATAAGTTCACTTACTTTATTTAATACAAATTTATGATCTTCATGCTGAAAATAAAAGTATAATGCATTAAATACCAGTAGAGTTAACAAAATAAGATTTCTTATCAAAGAATTTAGTTAAAATTAAATCTTTCTTTCCTTTTAATCTTCAGATCACATTTTGTACAATATTTTTGAAACTCCCATNTTTTGAAACCCCCCCCCCCCCCAATCACTAGATCCTTTGCTGCTTTAGGAAGTTAGAAAATTTTAAGTTGGTGATATTGCTCGAGAAGTTTGACATCGCAGAAGACTTAAAAAATTACAAAAAAGAGTTAAGGTACCTTCTGACGACATTCATTTTAGGTACCTCACTTTGCAAATTCACATTCAGTTCCATAAATAATTGCTAAGCTTCAAGAAAAAATAAATACAGTTTTGCGAGGGGAGACAGAAGTTCCCTCCTAATGTTTCAGAAACTTTCCTTTGAAGCATCCTGAGATGAACTAAAAAAAAAAAAAAACCTCAAAATCAGTATCCCTCTGATTACTTAATTTGTTAACAGCTTTCAAGATTTAGAGCCAGCGAGTGGACACAAGTTTTAAAAACTTAAGAGGAACTTACATCACATACTTATCACGTCCTTGGAATATTTCCACAATTTTTCAAAGTTTCCATATGTATCTTGGAAGTTCGTCATCATGAATTAAAACAATATCACTTACCTTAGAACTATTACCTTTATCTCGATTGGCATAATTAACAGCTATTCAATTTAAGAGATAGTCCCTTTACCATTTCTCCCAAAATTGATTAATAATAATTATATAATTGATTTTATATATATTGATTTGAAATTTTTTAATGAACATTTTTTGTCAATCATATAGTCAATACCCTATAATTTAACTGATGGAAAACTTATTGTCTTTCAAGCAGCATGTGAAACGGTGGTCGAGGAAAAGTTCCCAACATTGGAGAAATAAAATAACGGAGATTTTACGAGCGACATTTTTTAGGATACGAGTGAAGTTTTGATACATCATACATAATCATTTAAGTCAAAAAGAGGCACTCAAAATTGGAAATAATATAAGTACTTACATTTATCAAAATAAAAAATTTGTATGCATATAAATCTTAATCTAAAGATTTTTTTGAAACCATTATTTATAATTACTTAAAGTATGATTAGGAATAAGAGAAGTATTTTTGCCATCAATGGATATTTTATCACCATTTTTTTCTTCTTTTTTTTTAAAATTTCTTAAACAAACATGAAGAAATTTGAGAATATACAAGTACACAGGACATAGTCGTAAAAGACAGGAGACTTGGCAGGTATGAGTTTCTGGCAAGTCTGTAGTCACATAAGAAAAGGTTCTCGAGTTGATCACAGCTTCATTTTCAAACAGAACTATTCCCAGTACTTCACTTGATATGAAATGACAAAACGCAAGTAAAAAGGCTTCAGTTGTTACACTGGAAACTAATTCCAGGTGTAACGTTTGTGTTACTGCACAGGTACATAGCATGATGTAAAACTTACTGTTCGATTTACAAGTAAGGGTCCAACAAAACCAATGCATGTAACTGAAAATTGTCATATTCTGTCTTTTGGAAGAGAAGCCATAATTTCACTTCCTGATTGATGGAAAATTAAATCTTCTACATAAGATGCAACTTCATAGTATTGACTTAGTAAAATGCCTACCTTTCGGAGTCAGTTAAAGTAGATAATATAAGCCTATCTGTATATAAGCTGAGAGTATACTTTTATTTCTCTTGAAAACTTAAGCAAAGTTCAAATTGCATATATAAGCTACTATACAAAATCTTTTGTGTTTTTACAAGAAAGAACAGTTAAAGAAAACCATATTAAAAAAAATATTTCTTTTCCATTGTCATTTTTATGTGTTTTTACATGGTTTTTGGAAACATTTTGGAAACTTTACATACAAAAACCATTTTTGATTGCCATTTTTATGTGGTATCTTGCCAAGCTGAAGGGTCCAAATGTATGGTGACTGTTCCCACTACAGCTTTCTAAAATTTTTTGCTTCCATCCGGAATCATACAGTACTTAAACGTTTAAGTGTCACAAAATTATTTTTCTTAAAAAATTTTTTTTAGGTAACTTTATTCTTGATGAAAAGAAATAAATTCATAAAACATGGCAGTCCTGATACAACTTTTAAATCTTTTTATCCATATTTAATTCAATACTATTCGTTTCCATAATCTTGATACATAAATTTTCTCAAAATATATATTCACTGCAATGCACTTAGTAGCTGTTTTTAGTGCCAACATTATTTTGCATTGAATGCTTTAAATGCATTCCTGTTCATTAAATTACCAAAAGAAAGAATTAGAGGGAGAAAAAAAAGCTGTACAATATCATAAGAAAAAAACTAATCATGGAAATTTACACACAATAACCCCTTAACTGCCGCGGGCGTATATATACGCTTTCCCGAAGTGCAATGATCTGCATTGTGCTGCTATAAATAGAACTACACCCCCTACTTCAGAATGCATTAAAATGACCTTGAAAGTGTTTGCTTTGCGAATGTATTACTAATTTCGGAAGAGGGGGAATAGGAAAAGGATGGTATGGAAAAGTGATATCGTATTAATCGCTTGTGTGTATTTATTTGCGTAAGGTCGGGTTTATTCTTTTTTCGCTTTCGTTTCCTGTATGTATTTGGTGCTTTTATTCCTTCCATCATCTTCACAGAAAAATGCATCGCGAAAATGTGCTGTTTGTTCAAGAAAAAAAAAAAAACGCTGTGAATCCCGCTATCAGTACGATGAATGTGATGTTGGTTTATGTGTTCAACCATTCTTCAGGATTTATCATACAACAGCTAAGTTTTAACATCTTTTATATTGTATTTTTATTATTTAATTTAAATTTTGTATTTTCTTTCTTTTCTTGTAAAAGTAAACTGTTTTTAAATTGTAAAGCGTGAATCATTCTCCCCCCCCCCACCAAAACACTGTGTAAGAAAGCGCACTTGAGCGAAAAACGGTGGCACTGGGGAGTGAATCACGTTAATTTTACTCGGCAGTTAAGGGGTTAAAAAAATCAATGGGTAGAAGAATGTATATGTAATCCATTATAAATTTATTTTGAATTAAAAAAAAGAATTCAAAATTATAAATATATATTATGTAAATATTCAGAAACTTACAGTTATTAAATATGGTAAGTGATATGATAGTATTTCTTTTAACCAATGTCTCAAACTGGAATCATACCTAAAATAAACAACATATCAATTAGTCTAGATAACAGTCTTGATGTGAGCTTTAAGCACAATGGTGTTTATAGGGTAGGTATTAATTTAAAGAGAAGTCATTCGCACAATTCGGGATAAAAACAAGATAAAAGCACTGACATAGAGCGAAGACAAAGGATCAAAAGATACAAGAATAAGAAACAAAACTGTTAAAGGAGAAGAATATCTAAAATTTTAGCAAGAAGTGTATGTTGTGAGCATATATATTCATTGATTGCAATCATTATGAATTCTAATTATAATTTTCAGGTATTAAAAACAGATAGATTTTTTATTTAATTTTATTTCAAGAAATCACAATTGTTACAATTTTAAGTATGAATGAATAAAAATATGCAAAATTACAATTCATATTATTTAAAAAAATATTTAATACCTACGTAGTTAAATTGTTGATAGAAATCTTAATTTTTTATTCAGATTAGGATCATTCTTGAGTGATGAAAAGTAATAACTTCATAAAATGTATCATCATAAATGTTAATTTTTTATTTGTATGAGCCAGGGGTGACTATGACGCAAAGTGAAAGCCTTATTGGATTTTTAAATCCCGTGAATATGAATCGCAATGTACAATTTTTAAATTACTTGAATGCAATTCGCAAATGTGTAATTTCTAAATCAAGAAAATGTGAAAATTGATGTTTGCAAAATGTGAAAATTGCATGAATGTGAAGTGCCATATTAACGGATCTTGGTGTAATTTTCAACAATAAACCAAAAAAAAAAAAAAAAAAAANAAAAAAAAAAAAAAAAAAAAAAAAAAAAAAAAAAAAAAAAAAAGAAAGAAAGAAAAATGGCAGAAGAATTACTTTTATGAAAAGGTCTAGTTAACACAATTTTAAGAATTTAAATTATAGATTGCAGAGCTCATAATTCTTACTTTAAATCATAACTCTTAATTTAAATTTTAGATTGAGTTGAAATTGAGAACAAGGTACACTGAATTCATGGAAAATTCACGTTTCTAGACCTGGGAGGATGATATTAAAATCCTGGAATTCCAGGTTACACCAAAAATACAATCACCCCTGATGAGCCTCTAATTTAATTAAGACAAATTATAATGTTACAGACACAACTAACGATTTTGCCTCACCTATAAAATTAATAGCAATAAGAAATGAAAGAGGGCAAAGTAACTAGCCACAAATGATAGTTAAGGTTTCAACTCCAGAAATAACAAAAGGGGTGTTAAAGAGTGGTATGAAAACTAGTAAAAAACTAGTTAGTATTATTTTACTAGCTTTAAGACTAGTTAAACGTGCAGTTAGTGTACATCAGAAATTAAGAAAAGCTGGCTCTGCCAAGAGAAACTTAGAATTTTTTTTTTTAAAATTAATGATGTCTAACTAACAAATTTCTTTTCTTTCTTGTCCTTAAAGTTTGAGGATGTTTAGCTTCAACAATAATAAGGATGATTTATTTATTTAGTGTTCAGTTTGTAATAATTAAATAATAATCTTAAATATTTTAGCTACTTTGTAATATTTAGCTTAAAAAAAGTCAGATTTAAACCAAATAGATATAATTTTTTTAAATTTCTTTGTTTCTTTTAAATGTTTTTTTTTTTTTCAAATCCTAAATGTAATTATCTGAAATAAACATATATCTGAGTCAAAAGTTAACCCTAATAAAAAAAATACCCTAATAGAAAATAAAACACACACACACAACCCAAGTTACTAGAAAAGAATATTTTTTCCCCTTCCTTTTAAATAGCAACAAAATGCAATAATCAACAATTATTATTCAAATGAAAATAGGATATACTTTCTGCAACATTTTAATAAAGCTAATCAACATAAATTAAGTTTTAGATTTTTTCAATTAAATTCATTCAAGCCTGCTGTTCAGCAACTGACCTTGACTTCTGGGAATAATTTCATATTTTGAAAAATTCTGGTAATTTAGTAAATTATCTTTCTAGCATCCTATACCTCCTAATGTTTGAAAATACATTTTAATTAACAACTTTAATTTCCTTGTCTTCTTTCTGTTTTTTGTTGATAATATTCAAGCATATTCTTCTTATATTAGTAAACACACTATCAAACATATGTTTGATTCCCGTTTTTTTTCTTCCTTCCGATGTCATTCTGTGCCATGACACAAATAGTTTAGCTTTATTTAACAAGTAATTGATGAATAAAAATAATAATTGGATTCAAGAAAATAATTAAAAAATTTATACCTTTTATCTTGAAGTTTTAATCTTTCATATAATTCTAAGAGAATTATATTTAACCTTGGCAGGGGTAGATTTTTGACTGCAGCCTCTATCAATTCAGAATCATCACACTTTAGCACCGACTAGGGATAGAAATTAAATAACTTCAAAATAATAAATGGCAACACAAAGCAAACGATTAATGCAAATATTTATTATAAAAACAACAACAAAAAATAGAGAGTAAATAAATTTTTACATAGAATGCAAATATTTTCTATACATTCACAAACTAAAAAGAAAACTTCTTACGTTTATTATAGATGAATTTTTTTCATCTATACCTCTTAAGAGGGTATCTATAACTTCAGATGGATCTGTTGAGATAACAATATCTTCGATGTCTGATTCAGGAGTTTTTGGTCTTTCCTATAATACAAAATGTGTAAATATAATATTATTGATATCAATTTTAAAAGATGTCAGCAATATTGTCAAAGTTCTTTAAGTATTGAATTTTAGTAAGGATTTAAAATCTGTCAAGTAAATCACACAAACTAGTGTAAGTATGAAGTTTGGTCGTTTCAGCATAGTAGGCAGTAAGAGTAATAAAATAATTTTCCTCTCACTCATGAGATAACATAGAAAATTTATTAAAATGCTTAATTATGTGCTGTACAATTTCCTCAAGCACCTCTCTACAACTCAAGTATGGTGAATATATATGTATAAATATATTTATATATGTATAAATATATATATCAGGGGTCAGTCCAGACATTTTGTAAAAGGCCTGGTTTTTGTAAAATTGTGAAAAAATTGTTTGAAAAATTGGAAAACAGCAATTGCTGCTTCTAAATTAGACATGCAACATACAAATATTTGGTATTTAGCATATATGCCGAATATTCATTTGGGACGAATAATGGAAGAAGTGTCTGCCGCAGACAAAACTTAATTCGTTTACGTTCATCTTTCTCCCCCCCCCCCTGGGAAAGGTTTATTCGATTAACAAAACAATAATGAAGATAAACAAATTTGTGAAGAGTATGATTAAAAGAAAAATCATTTTGTGAAAGGTTCGTTTTCATGAAAAGTTATTTTGTGAAGGGTCCGTTAAGGGACCCAAATATCTTCTAAACAGACCCCTGTATATAATCCAATAATTAGCATAACAGTCAGTAGCACCATAGACCCATTTATGCTTAAAATTTCTGCAGTCATTTTAAAAGGATTAAAAATAAATCCAAATAAATTTATAATGTATAACTAACTATTCAACACTACCTAAATCATTACTTAAGACAACCTAACAAAATAAATAATAACTACAGTGTTCCTAATAGATACAGAAATAATGGATTTAATAATGCCATATATTATATAAATTACTCTCAAATTGTAAAGCTAAAAACAATAAATAAAATAGGTAAGTCTTTTTTCTTTTTACCAGTTTTTTGGAAAGTTTTTCTTTCTTTTTCACTGTTGGGGAAGAATTTAATAATCTGTTATCCTGGTACACTTTATTTACAGTTGTGTTGGAGTCATTTGAAGAAGATTCTGTTGTAGCATTCATTTGTACCACTTTTCTTCTTTTAGGACTGTTACAAGATGCACCAATAAAAGATTGACCATTTGTCATTGAATTTTCTTGCCATTTTTTGCAAAGTTTCACCTAAAAAAGAAAAACAAGAGCCCATTTTTAATAATTCATTTCTATTTCAATATTTAACTACAGATTCAAAATTGAGATATTTTATTTTAATAAAAAATGTCAAAAGTTGCCGGTTAAGATGATAAGCAATACTAAATTTTATAAATGTTTTTATTGTAGACAAACAAAACAGTATATTAAACATACTTAATATACTTCTTGTGTATAAAAATGTGTTCGAATTTGTCTTTAGGCTACTGTTTTTTAGTTTCGTTTTTATTCATTTTTTAATGCATACTTTAAAATTTCTGTTCCACTCTTAGCCACTGCAGTATTTTGGTTTTGCTTTTCACCTTTGTTTATTTTCCATATTTTGCTAGTGGCAACCATGATTTTTGTTAAAATTCACTTTTATTGAGTCTTGTAGATAGACACCTACTTTTTTGAGCTTGAAACAAATAGACCTTCATATTTTTTTGAAGAAGTTTTTATAATATTATATAGATTAAATAATTGATCAGCCAAAGTTTATTACTATAGTTAATTACTATAATGTGGTGGAGAAGTATATACACAATATGTAGCAAACTGTATAAAAATTTAAAGGAAATCTGAAAGAATCTGTTATTAAATTACTTTTTAAAAGTTTTATGCATTTTCTGAATAAGAAATACATCTATTTAAAGGATGCAATGCTTGGTTTTAATAGTGTACCCTTTAAAGAAGTGTTACTGTGTTTTAAATGGACTAATCTGCATTATGAACATAGGGTAGATAAGAAGAAAAACTTTTACTCACTATTATTTTTGGAAAAACATTACCACATATTGAGTTTTTAAAGGCAACTGATACAAAAATTTTGGTTTCAATTCTTTTTTATATTTTCTGATTCAATTATTAATATTTTATTTATTATTTTTTCTTATCATAAAATGCTTCCTTTTCTTTCACATCAATTAAACAGAGACTTATACTTTCATTTAAGATTCCTAGTAGAATCGCTGATAAAGGTAAAAAAAAGGTACGAAACAGTTAAACACCTGTTACTTTTTTATGTGAAAGACGGCTAAGTTTATTGTCAATATAACCATACTATATATATAGACAAAAAAACAAACAACAAAATTCTCCCGCCAAAAAGGTAATAGGGTTTCTTTAAATAAGACTTAAGCAGCACACTTCATTTTTCTTAATTATCAACTTCGTCACTTTTTGCTGTACATCCATGATGTATCTAATTTTGGTATAAATTGATATATTTGAGCTGTTTTAACACAATGAATCTTAGCAAATTCCAAGATTGCCTACTTAAAAAAAAAAAATATTTTGTTTATCTCTGTTAGTGATAAAACTAATGCAGCCAATAAAATATAGTTAACAAATATCAAATCTGTTCAAATAATAACAGATATAAAAAAATATTGGAAAAATAAAAAAAAATAAATAAAAGACAGACTTGCTTACTTTGGGTACAAAGAAGTCATATACTTTTTCTTGTAATTTTCTCTCTCTAGCTAATGTTAACTTTTTGGGATAATCATATATATTCTGCAAAGAAAAGAACATGCATTGAAATAACATTACTCAGATTACTCCATTTAACAAATAATAATAAGTGTGAAACTTTATGAGTAACACAAAAAAACAAAAAAAAAGTGAATTGAAATTTGGAGGAATGTTGGTATGATTTTCCATTACAAAAAAATTTATATAACTTTATTTTCTTCAGAAAACTTACCACTGATTCAAATATGGGACAATCATCATCTCCATATGCAATTATGCAAGATTCCGCACAATGCAAAATTTTGGAAGAAAAAATAGGAACATGTGATGGGGCCATTTCACTATTGCCTTTAGTTGCTTTAGAAACAACTTCAACTGTCATTTCCGGAGTCAAATTTTTAGTTTTTCTAGAACAAAATTTATTTAAATTAGCTAACCTATAATACACAATTACTAATTTCTAATAACATGCAAGTTCTTTAAAATAATAAGTTGTAATTCATATATCTAAAACACTTTCTAACATTTACATACTAATTTAACTTTTCCTGATGTGAAATTAAACTTAACATAAGATTTGATGCAATGCAAATTAAGCTAACAGTTGTATTGTGTGAATTACGAAAACTAACATATAAAAGAGCGAAAACTGTGTTAATTGCAAAAGCTTTACATTTTTTGATAATAAGTCAACAAAATTAGAAAAAAAATTAACATACAAATTAAGTATTCCATTAAACTAGATAAAACAAATTAACTAGATAGTAGATAAAACAAATCAGAATGTATGCTGGCATTTGTATTTTTAACTTAAGTTATAATATATGAGTGCAAAACACTTACCCATTTAAAACATGTTTAAATAAAACCAGATTTCCTGTTTTTGTAACTGCAGTTAGCAAAAGGGGCTGAAATTATAAATGATGTATTAACAATTGATCATTATTACAAATATATGAATAAATTTTTTTTTTTGCCTCATACATAAACTGCAAATAAAGGAACAAATAAAAAAAAATAACCATACTTACATTATCTTTAGAAAAAGTTTGACTCCCATCTATGCTTTGTGGCTCACTATTTACAACAAAAGAAGCTACAGCTTTTTGGCAATTTTTTTCATTTAATGACCTATGACAGAAAGTTTTAAAATAAATATTATAAGTAGATTTGCTATTTTATTACATATAACTATTAAACACTGTGTAATTAATTCAACATTATTTAGTAAACATTGACATAATTATTGATTGTTGTCAAAAGAATCATTTATGGATGAAATCGAGATGGTTTTAAATAATGAAGTTGAGAGGGATAAAAAAAAACTGATACTCAATTGACGCTTTCTGAAAAAGTACCAAAAATGAAAATTGTATGCAATGGTCAAACTTGTATTGAAGGAATGAAACCTTTTTATCAATCCAAAAGAGACTAAATTTCCTTTAAAAATACTAAATGATTTTGAAATGTACCATAAAGATAAGGTAAGCCGCAGCCACTCATAAACAAACTTCTATCGCATCAACTATATAAGTATAAAACAAAGAAATGTATATACATTACTATATTAATTTTTTACTGTAAATATTATAACTTTTCGAAATTTAAATAAATATTAAAGTAAATAGTTATTATAAATTTCAGTTCTATATTAATAACAATTATTCTAAAAAGAATTTTTGGCATTAGCCTTCAGTATTAGTGTACCAATCTCATAATCGAACAACTTTTTCAGTCTCAAGAATGTCCACTTATTTGAGGTTTCACGGTATGTGCGTGTGTATGTGTATATATATTAGTCGTTGCCATAGACAAATGTTCTGGAAGGCAGGAAAACGGGCAGATGACCAGAAACTTTATAAAGGTATTTTTAAACGTTCGCAGAACTTCAAATCTCACCCTGAAATCATTGTGCTTGTGTTTTTATCTTAGGGAAAATGACACAAATTTGTCCCTATGATATGTTATGCACTGCTGCCAACATGGATAGGAAAATATATAATGAAATATACATTTCATGATAATTGTTGCATGATGTACGAAATATTTTACACACAGGGAAATTTTAGGGATTTTTATAGTCATCAAAATAGAAAAATTGCAATATTTTCCAGTTATGATTGACATTAAATAAACTTGAACTGTTATGTATTATGTTTACTCATACAGTAAAGAACCATTTATCCAGAAAACAGGGGGACATTTTGCTCGGTTCTTCCGCCATTTTGAACTAGAACAATTGAGGAAAAAAGCGGAAATTTAACTCAACCTTGAAGTTGAGTAGATGACCGTTTGCTGAAACTTCAATATTTCTTCCACGACCTTGAAGATCTTCAGAGAGAGGGGGCAGGGAAAGGACAAATATTTTATTTCCTCCTATGTCTGAAAGAATTGTTGTCCTTCAGATAAGCAGCAGTCTAATGATATTGGATCTTTCGGAAAGTGTGTGTTGATTCACGTTGATAGTACTAGATAATATATGTATCAGCAGAGACTTTCGGAACAATCCAATAAGTTTTTTTTTTTTTTGGTACTTATAATTTTTCAGCACATGTTTTTTTTAAATATATTTTTATAATATTTATTATGATGTTCAAATTTGAGTTATCACTTTTTGAGCTGTTCAAGGAATATTTTAAAATTGATTAATAGGATGAGCGAGTTTAACTGAGAAACTATTTTTAATTTAATTCTCTTTGATAAAAAAAAATAGAAATAATAAAATAAAATAAAAGATTTAATTATAAAACTAAAAACTTTTTTTTAATTTTAGATTTTTGAAAAATTCCCCTTCTTTTTGCTATAGATTTATTTTTTTAGTGGAAAATAGTGTCTCTTTAGTTTCTAGTGCCCTGCCCTTTTAAAGGTTTAGAAGGAACACTGCATAGTACATTAAATCATTGACTATCAAATATACAAAAGTTAGTTATTTTTCTTAACTACTGATACAATCTGACCTTAAAATAATGTTTATTTTCCCCTTAATGAAGCTTTAAACAAGAAAATAACTGGATGGCAAAACTTTCTCTCTTTTTTTTTTATCTATACAAATCTGCTAATCTTTTTTTTTATTTTATACAAATACACAAGAAGTTAATGCAAACATTAGAATTAATGATACAAGTTAATAACAATTTCAAAGACATGATTATTTAATAATAAAATAAATTACCAAGCACTGATTTTAGGTGTACCCATTGATGCAGACAAAAAGTATGAGCCAGAAGAAATGTCTAAGGAGTTCACTACTTTTAAAATAGTAATCGGAGCTTCTAGGCAATGAAATTTCTGAAAAGATATTTTTTATATAAAAAAAGATAAAAATTAAATTTACAAGCTCAAAAAATTTGTTTAAAAGTCATTTGAAAGAGTACATTAGGTTGAATTAAATTAAAACTTAACAGAAATAACTAAAATCCAACATATTTTTTTCTACAAAAAATTAGGATCTTATATGTTTCAATGGCATGAATACATAGCTTTTAAGATTAAACTTTTATTACCTGTCTTTTATTTATTTTTTTATTATTTTTTTTTTAAAACAAAAAGTGTGATTTCAAATCGCTTTTTTTCCCCTAGAACTATTAAAGGATAAATTACCTCTATAATACTTAGAAAAAAAAGTATGCAATTCAATAAATGCACATATAATTATTAACTCTACTTTTAATTGTAGATACTGAACTAATTTCAAGACAGAAAACCAGTTTTTCTTTTCAATGCTATTCAGTAGAAATATAACTAGGGAAATTTTCGTAAAATCTTTTCCAAGGAAAGTTAACGGTTTAGAACTTATTTTATTTAACAGTTTATTAATATAACACAGCAAATTTATGTGTTGAACACCATATAAAACAAATTATGGGTATTTTTGAAAACCAGAACAAAATAAGATTTTCCAAGTTTTCCCTGTGGAGTGGGAACCCTGATACTGCATGCATGCAATACAAAGTTGTTTACCCTATTAACAGAAAATAATTCTAAAATTAAGTTTAAAAAAAAAATAAATTCAGAAAAGCATCTCATTCCCATTTATACTATTGAACGTTGCAAGCATTATGTATCTCTACCAAGTAAATAAAAATTAAGTTTCAGAAACTTTTAATTAGTGATGGTCTATTTTGTTTTCAGCATTTATTGACAAAGATTTTATCTTAAATTTCCTAATCGCATTAATTTATTTTACACTAGTACTTTTGATGAAACTTAATTCTATGTAAACTTTCAAAATTGCAGATTTATGTTTATTTAAAGGAATAAAATATCTACATTAGCAGTTTAAATCTAAATTGTAAAAAATGAGAGAAATTATTTAATTTTTTCACACTTTCTTTATTTTCATATTCAAACTAAAAAAAATTATATAAATATATATATATAAAAAAAAAGGTTTTTGTTTTGTTTAAAAACCATTTGGTTTAAACTACTGTTACTACTGAGCAAAGCGTCAGAGAAAACATTAAATTAGTCTTGTAATAAGTGAATTTAAATCATTTATAATAAGCATTGTTTTATGAAAATTTAAATAAATAAATTTTTTTTCAGTCATAAAAAACTAAAACATCAATAATTTACAAAAAGTATTCAAAGATTGAAAAATAAATATAAGTCTAATACCTTTATAACACTTTTATCTTTTATATTCCACCAAATAATAGATGTGCTTCCAGTAAGCAAATTATTACTATCTATAACAGATACAGAATAGATTTCTTCATCATCTGCAGTCCACTGTCTGTACGAAAATTGATATTTTTACACATGATAATTAAGAAACAAATTATAAGATTATTGTTGCAATAAGTACAGATAATTAAAATACAAATTGATTCATCAAAAGGATCTTTTCAACCAGCTATTCAGTCAAAAAGAGTAAAAAGATTCTTAAAGACACTATCAGTCAATACCTAAAAATGATATTTCCTTTTCCTATTACAAGGCTTTAAATTTAATAACTTACCAATTTTTTAAAAATAGTAATTAATGAAAAACAGCAATAAAATATTAATGTTTAAAAATTTTTAAAAAAGAAAAACAATATGACAGCACAAAATTGCAGTTAATTACTGTATAAGAAAGCATTACTCTTTCTCACTGACTTTTGAACTTTTTGTTGATTTTTTCCCATTTTAATTATGACACATGAATTTTAGTTTGAAACAATTAAAGTTTTCATTTATAAGTTTATTTTCCCACCTTAATTTCATAGAATTATTTGCTTTACAATCACTCATTCTTTCATAGCTTTCATTGAAGATAACCCTTGATAAAAATAATTAAAAGAAAGAGAGAGAAAAAAATATTAAATAAGTCATAACATTTTTAATGAAAGAGATAAATTTTATCTCCCAAAACAAAAATAGGCCACAGAGGAAATATTTTCTTTCTACTGTCCAAGCGTTTAGACGAGAAATGACAGGAGATATGCAAAAGATTAACAGAATCACATCTACATTCTTATCTGCAAGCTCATAACATTTCAGACACATACAGAAATCTCATTTTATCATATACGATTAAATTTAAAAAGGAGAAAATGTATTGTGTAAAATAGAAAGAAAAGAAAAAACAATAATCTAAGTAAAAGAATTTATAACACTAACATTCTTATATCTCTTGTGTTCAAATTTAAAAAAATTTTAAATTCAACAAAAAACAACTTACTGATTTATCTTTCCAGAAATGGTGTCCCAAATAACGACAGACTTATCACTCGAACAACTAAATAAGCTACTTGTTTCACAGTGTAGACTTAAGTCATTGACATCACAGCTATGGCCCCCATTCTTTGCAAAAAATATCAAAATTATTAAAATTTAATGATCAATTCCACCATTTATGATATTTGCAGACTTAAGATTATAATTCCGTTAAAAAATTCAAGGAGTTCTAAAACTTTTTGTGAAAATAAGCCTTGGTATCATTTATACTCTCTTCAATTTTCAGAAATTTGAAATTTTTTTTAAAATTAAAAACTAGCTGCTATGATTATAACATATGGGGTTACGCTTCATAGAGCCAGTTTTAAATTTTTGAACTAACGAAGAATACTAAAAATTGGAGTAAGTGAAAATGACACCAAAATTTATTTTAACAAAAATTAATAGAGCTCTGCTTGATTTTTTCTTACATACATTTAGAGTATGTAAATATAACATTCCTAAATGGTGGAAATGTCCTAATATAAGAATATATATTAAAAAAAAGTGGCTAAAATGAAAAGGTGAAGCAAGAATACATGAAGTTACAAAGAGTTGCAAATTATACAAAATAACCAGGACATTAAACTAAGATTTACAGCCAATACTAGTATAACAGTATCACAAAAACTTTTGACAGATGCTTAGACACCTGAATTATACTACTGTTGCAAGGAATGGCCCACCTTACCTTCATACCAGGAGCATCTTGAAGCAACCTATTTTTGCATTAGTCTAGCAAAATTTTTGAGCATTACTTAAAGCGAAATTGATTGTAAATGTATTGAAAAACAATTCTAACTAAATATATAAAAAGATCTTCATTTACTATCTTTGTATAACATGTATAATTCGTAACCTCTTTCAATGTAACTGCCTAATGTTTGCAATCCTCTACTCTTAAAAGATTTCATAATTTGTTTTGCATACTTCATTTGTTTCTTCATTTTAAGTTTTTTGTAGGTCCTGCATATACAGAATACAGACAAAACTAACATGACAATAGAGTTCTAAGAAAGGGAGAAAAATTGCATCAACCATATTATAGTAATAATGTAGTGGTGGACCTCAGTAGTCAGTGTCCGGTAGACTCTAATGACTTAGTAGTAATTTTTTCTTCAAACCTTATGAATCGGTGACCAATATCGATAGGTCCTTTTAATTTATGTTTGTAAACATTTTTGTTGCTTGGATGAAATTTTATTCTTAAAAAAAAAATCATGTTAGCATGCATGGAATATCAGCATAACTATTCTGGAGCAGGAAAAAAATATTTTGGAGCAAGTAAATTTGTCGTTTGAAACAAAATGACATTTTCATGCATATATATCTGCATTTTATATCATATTTAACAGAGCTCTTCAAAAGATTACTGCCAGCTAATGTTAAAATAATTCAAGATGAAATGATGGATCACTTGTAATTTTACATATACAGTACAGAACCCGTTATCCGGAAATCAGAAAATCGGAAAACCAGAACGAAATTCGATAAATTTTCCCGCCATTTTTTTTTAAAAATGTTTTTTTTCCTCATAAGATATTAGGATTTTACTTTCTTTTTTGAAAGATGTTAACCTTACCATCATTTTGGAAATAATCACGTTTTTTCTTCTTTTTAAGATTATTTCCAAATAATTTCTTCTTTTTAGTTGGATTAAACAATAAAAAAAAAAACTGCTTTTTGTAGCGTTTCAGAAAACCGGAAAAATCAGTTATCTGGAATAGCGATGGTTCCGATCGTTCCGGATAATCGGTTCCCTACTGTATGTTTATGTACTTTGTTTTTATAATAGATTATAACTATCCTTACACCAAAATTTGAAGTATTTGACAATAATCAACTGATCATTCAGCATAGAAAGTATTCAATTTTAACACCTTTCATCTTCTTTGAGTTTTATTCACATCACCTGGCTCAACAACTTAGCAGCCAAATGCTCACTTTAGACTGTTGAGCAATTCAACAGTCAAATCGCATTGGCTATTAAGTCAACAGTGAGCAATCGCTATTAAGCCATTCAATGTAGAAAGTAATATTTCCCACAAACAAGAATACAATTTTAATAACTTTCATGTTTTCTAAGTCTTATTCACATTACTTAAGCCTGTTGATCCATAAAAAAAATTGTCATATTTCAAATCTTGTTTAAAAAATGCTTGGGTATTAAACCAAATTTCTTACAAATGCATAATGTTTATCATAAAATATATACATAATAGATTATAACTTACAAAATGGTTATATAATTTTCCAACACTATAATCATACACATAAATATGTCCTATTTTTGTTCCAATCAATATGAACTGCTTTTCTGTATTATCACCTTCATTTTCAACCTATTTTAAAGAATAAAAACAATTAATACATCAATTATTTTTATATTAAAAATCTGCAAATAAATTTTTATTCCCGACAGAAAATTATACATGCAATTTGTGACAATCATTAACAATTACTTCAACCTCTATTCAATGTGCTACATTTCAAATACGTGAAACATTGTTAAATAGATAGAACTTATCAGGGCTCTAAATTTGAAGTTATAAGAAATCGTAACATTTACAAGACTTTGGCTAGTAAAAATTTAATAATTTGGAAAAAGCATTCACTCTTCAGAAAATCATTGAAATTCAGGTTAGGCAAAATCAAAGGAAAATTTCCATATTGGTACCTATGGCAAAAACTAACAATTTTTGAGCAGTGGCCTACAAGAAAAACATCTAAGGTTAACAACTCAAAGGGGGGAAAATTTTCATAATCTGATCTGTGGCAGAAGTATCAATGGATCTTGGCTTGCGAAAAACTAAAAAAATTATCACAGATGGAGATCAACTTAAAAAAGGTATAACTTATTACCGTCCCCAATCAAACCTGTGCATGTCTTTTTTTAAAAAAAAAATTCCATGTTTAAAACCTATTGCGATTGCAGTTAGCACAACAAATCGCAATTCGGAAATATCCTCCTCAAAGGGTATAACTCCCCCAATCCCAGGCAAATTTAAAATTTTTTTTTTTGTTTTACAAGTTTTAAATATCTTAAGCAGGAATAGATTCTGAAACAAAATATCTCCAAAATCAAGACTATCCTGTGGTCGACTTTGTATTCTATTGATAGAGCAGTGTGGCTCACCTATAAAGAAATAACCGGAAAAAATTTAGAGGATTGCAGAAGGTAAAATTAATTTCTTGGAAAGGTACATGCTAACTTGCAAGAACAACTACAGGACACCACTATTTAACTTGTGGCTATGCTCCTGAGGCGATATAATTACGTCAACCTTCATCTATCTAAAGGTACCTCTAGATCAGGGTTTCTTAACCTGTGGTTCATGAACCCCTAAGGGGTCCATGAGTTATATTTTGGGGGTCCGCTAACTACTCCTAATTTTTAAAACGCTTGGAAGCCTACCCATTGCTTGTAAAGCGTACTATGGCAGCTATAATTCCGTTTGCTACAGTATATCTGTGCGAAGCGGGATTTTCCACACTTGTGACAATAAAAATATAACATCGAAATCGATTGAATGTTGAACATGATATACACGTTGCTTTGTCGAAAACAATTCCCCAATTAAATTTATTAATTAAGGAAAAGCAGCAGCAACCTTAACATTAAGAATTTTAATTATAAAAATTTTGTTTACCATTAAAATACTAAAATTAAATGTTTTCTAATAATTGATGTTTTTTGCAATTTTTTTTTTTTCACAGGGAGGTGGTCCGTGACTTTTAAAAGGGGTCCATTACATCAAAAAGGTTAAGAAACACTGCTCTAGATGGAATCAAGATAACACGTCTTATATAGTAGGGAATCGATATTTAATAATCTTAGAGGTAGTTACGCTACACTACCAAGGGGCACTTATCACTAAATGGTTATGGCTTTGTAAGAGATCATGAGCGGAGGTCAACTAATCTCCCGTCGCCATCTATGACATGTAAGAACTCATGTACAAGCTGTAACTTTGCAATCCTGTATACAGAATCAAATGTGGACTTTACAGTCTGCTTGGAAGATTAGTATAAGGCTTTCAATAATAATCACACATATCATATCAAAATAGATTTGTTTTAACAGATATTCAAATAATAAGAAACGAAAAGTTTTGTCAAAAGACAGTATTATAATTTATGTTTCGTAAGACTTCATTAAAAAGCAAGATAGAAGATGGTGACATATTTTACATGTAGCATTGCAGAGCAATTTACATGATTTGAATAAACCCATAAGAATCTATGAAATCAAATTCATAATGCGCCGAAAAACAACTTACAGATGTAATTTGAAATGTTCCCCAATTTATAGAAGAGCAAGAGGTTTTTAAGTTCAATTTAACATCAAACTCTTGTTTAACATTATTAGTAGCCGTTTCCCAAATTGTCAGGATTTCAGCATCATTTACACAAACAAAAAGTTCTCCGCAAGGAGAAAATGCACATAATTTACGTTGAAACATCACACAATTTATTTAATTATTTAATCGGCTTGTATTCAATCGCTACAAATAAAGACAACATTGAACACGCGAGAAAACGAAAATATGGAAGAGTTTAGCTTAGATGTTTTTGTCCTACATCAGAAAGTTTTTTTTAAATTTAAAATTTTATTTTTTTAAATTTTTAATGCAATGTTTTTAAATATCTTTTAGTTCAAAAATTATTAAAAATCTCTGTTCCTTTGAATTATTAAAAACAATATTTTTCATAATTAAAATTAAGTGCATCAACAAAAACGAAACAGAACAAAAAAACAAGAGGAAGCTTGTTTCTTGTTTGGTGTTTGGATTCGGAAAAATGGCGTCTAATTGTCTATTTATGGGCAGGAAATATTTAATTAAATTTAGTTTACTCACTGAAACTGTGAGATATTAAAATCTGTATGTGATTACCTTAAAAGATATCGCTTCCAATTTATATTCGAATTAAATTATGTAAAATATAATGACATTTCTTTTTATTGTATCTGGGACACGTTGAAGGTAACCTAGTCCTCAATTTCATGCTCATTTAAATAAAAAGCAAATTCATTTAATTTTATTAAATTGGTTATGTATAAAATACTATGTATATTAGAAAATGGATGTCCAGTCTATTACATTTACTTATTATTACTTGGTGGTTAAGTATTTTTCTAGGTTATTGCGTCTGCTAAAGTAAGAGACTAAGTATTAAGGAAATTACGTATACATATATTTAAAAGTGCTTGATCGATTTCATTACAATATCATTTCAATAAATAAATTAACGTATTTGATCAAGATCTGTATGTCAAGCATTTTTAGATTTGTATTTGAGTATCATATCTACATCCAAAGAAATCTAGAATGAAAGTTGGACAGGGTACATCTTACATTTTTTTTAAAAATTTGATTATAGTATTTTCATTAACTAAATTTAGTCATTGTGACATCGATTTATAAGGTAATTGGACTTAAGTGATTAATTAATAGTGTACAAAATTATGTATAAATGTTACTGTGAAAATAATAGGAATCAATTACTATGGTTCTAGAATTTTATTTTTTGATGTATACTGTAATCTATGACACTTTTGTGTATTAATTTTTACTGCAAGTTTAATAAGGAAACCTTATTTCTTAAGATTGGATGTGACCCATTTGTGTAATATTTTTTTTTAACTTGCTAACAGGATCGAATTACCAAATTCAGCAAGGAACATTTGTGTAATGTTATCAAACTTACCCACATATTTTCTTATTGGCATCATAATGTATTCTTTTTCTTATGTTGAAAATAATATATTCTTGTTTTTCATGTAAATTTAATGAGTTGAGTTGTTAAACGTTGAAAGAGTTTTAAATTTTATCATTAAATACCTAGTGTTGTATTTTTTTATCACTTTTCTCTATCTTAAAACAATAATGAATCCTTATTTGGTTTCATAAATACACATTTGTATGAAAAATTCCATATGTTCCTATTAAACTAGAACTGCGAGATGTACCTTGAATGGCAGGGCAGGTCATTTTGACCCTAAATAGTACTCATAAAAATGTACGCAATTATTTAATTAAGAGACCTAAAACATGTTTTTTAATATTATAATCAACATTTCTAGAATACAGTTCTTATGTAATGTGTCTTATATAAAATCTTATATCAATTAACAGAAATGTCTTTTAATTCATAAGATAATTTTATTCATAAGATAATTAATTAAAAAAATGAGAAATATTAATAGAAAAATACCTGTTATTTACTTTTTTCGGTTTTTTAAACTAATTTATTGTATACAGTCTTTCGAAAATTTAGTGATACATTTTATACACTTACCACAAATGGGTGTTTTGCAATTTCAACTAATGTCTTATGTTTTATTCTCTCATTTTGAACTGTGTCATCAAACTCGTTTGCTCTAACTTATAGTTGTTCGTCGTTGCTTCGTACACTTGTGCTATTTTTTTTTTCTGTTGCAAACTTTTCTACAATTTAGCCTTATATAAATTGGCGCTTACTAATAGTTTAATAGTTATAGCTTTGTATAAAGTTATAGCTTTGTATAAAGTTATAGTTTAATAGTTATAGCTTTGTACCCAAGCATTAACAGCAGCATTATCCAAAGTGTTAAATTTAAAAAAAAATTCACTACCCTCCTACTGTTTGTCTATGATAGGTACTCTGACTGCCACAAAGTCTACGGCAGTCTGGTGCTATGGAAACAAGAAGAGGGCATTTTAGGGAGGGTAGCTTCGATGATAGCTTGTATGGGGAGTATACCAGTTTGGCTGACTCAGCCACCAGTAGGCGACTTATTTAATCTGATTCAAGAACTTTTTTAAGATTCGCATGAATATTTCTTTCTAACTTAAAATAATTCTCTCTATTCAATCGGTTGTTATTTTTAAAATACAAAGGGAAAAAAGTGAACAAATTCTGACATTAAGGTTTTTTTAATTTTACGATATTTATTATGAATGTTCATTGATTGTTAGATGGTTTAATTTCTAAACTTGCACATTTTTTAAAGCAGTTAATTGCTTTTATAACTTGAATTTTCTGGAAAAAGTGAAGAGCTTAAACTTAATAACTCTGATTTTAAAAGGAGATAAAACTTTAGTTGAAAATGAAAATAGTTCACGTTATCTGTGTTGGAGAAATATTAAATATCTTTGTTTTTATTATTAATTTTTAAATATTTACTTTTTATCTATATTTTTTTTTTTGTTGTTGCTTAAATTACGTTTTCTTATTCATATTTTATTGTAACCTGTATAGTTTTTTTCACTATTTATTAAAAACAGTTTTTATTATCTAATTTATTTATTTCTTAATAACCAATTTACTATGTATGATAAATTTATGGATGAGTTATTTATGAATAAAACATTGAGCTGCTTTAAACAATTTTATAAAATTTCCATACATATCCTATTTATCAATCGTTATTCATAGAAATAACAATTTCAATTTGTCATTATATTTGGACAAATAGTATTGATGAAAATCAGAAGAGAGCTGAAACATAAAAATGAACAATTTATTCAAGCTATTAAATTTAATAATTAATGAAAGAATTCCTGAAATTTTGAAGATGTTCTTTACTAATGCTTCTTTTGTAAAACCACGGTAGCTCTTTTAAAACCATTTGAAGGCCAGGGAAAACATCAAAGGGGTTTTTATTCAAAAGGTCTGAACGTATGTAAAAATAAATATTCATACTCCAAACAGGAGTTTGACATTTATGAATAGTACAATAAGAAGGATACTCTTTATTGTGAACTGCAGGGTGCCTGTAAGTTACTGACCACTGATGAGAAATGTGTCATCTCTTTTGTAAGCTCCATGAGAAAATCTTAATTTCAATAGAAATATATTCCTTTTGGTGCCCTGAGTCTATGCCCCTTTTTACCCATTCTTTACGCTGGCTTTTACACTAACATTAATGACAGGAATAAGCAAGGACAACAACAAAAAAATTGATTGCTTAAACATTTTGTTGCAACAGCTCTTTCAATAATTTCTCTTGTTACAAAAATATTAAGGCTCCTTTTGTTGGGAAGGGGTTTCAAGGAGTCAAGAAAAGTTTGATGAATGTGAAAGAAAAGTTCTCACATTCTAACTTTTCCTAGAAAAAAATATTGCAAATCAGCAATTTTAAATATATTATCTGTCATTGGACAGCTAAAACATTATCCGCCAAAGCTCGTTAACTTATTTTCTTTACTTACTGATTTGAATTTAAAAATCTTTCATAAGTCTCTTTTATTTCAATACATAAAGTAATATTAATTTCTTTCTTTTTTTTGAAAAAAAGAAAAGCCATGCCAGGTTGTTTTTTATATATATATATATGGATCT